GTCAAAACCCACATTAACTGATATAAGAGAGATTGTAAAATATTACAGTGAAAATAAAACCACTTTACTGACCACACAGAGACATTTAAAATAACACCAAGCATGAATATAGAGCCATAAGATACACCATATTAAAAGCTTACACATTCTGTGTGGAGCTCTTTTTGTGGAGAAAATAAAGTCCAGGGCAAAGAGAGGGGCTCAGGATGCATGAGAGAGACAACCTGAACAGCTGTTTTCCTAGCTGATTTTCTTTTCAGATCAGAAAGTTTATAGTTTTAAACTTTATAGTATAAACATTCTCATGATCTTGTTTTATGTGGAGTTCCATTACAGTTATCAGGGTTTAATATTATAGAGAGATATAGCCATCCGTACATAATAAACCAGTAGTAAATAGAGAGAATTGTTATTGAATTGAATTGTTACTAATAGTTTTACCAAAGATTTATTCTAAATCATTTCACATAAATTTTTATAGGTATGAATATATATATATATATATATATATATATATATATATATATATATATATATATATATATATATATATAAGCAGAAATGCATACTGCAGTGAGCCACAAGATGGCAGCATTAGCTCATAGAATGCTGTAGATAATGTTGGGTTCCACTTATGTAATCAGATTGTCATTGTTCTAGCTGAGAAAAGTATATATATATAAAAAAAAAAAAAAAAAAACATTTTTTGTGTTCGTATATGCTTTTGTCAGAAATGAAAATTCACTCCTATCTTGCTGGAAATTGTGTATTGCAGTAGTCATTTTAGTTTTATCCTAATGTAAAGAGTAGGGTCAATGATATATTATATTATATTATATTATATTATATTATATTATATTATATTATATTATATTATATTATGTTATATTATATATTACATTGTATTTTATTATATAATTTTTTATTATATTTTATTATATTATACTTTTATATTATATTATATTATATTATATTATATTGTATTTTATTATATTATGATATTATATTATATTATATTATATTATATATTACATTGTATTTTATTATATAATTTTTTATTATATTTTATTATATTATATTTTTATATTATATTATATTATATTATATTATATTATATTATATTATATTATATTATATTATATTATATTGTATTTTATTATATTATATTTTATTATATTTATTATATTATGATATTATATTATATTATATTATATTATATTATATTATATTATATTATATTATATTATATTATGTTATATTATATTATAGTGATAAGACAAATTTTATAAGAAATGTCCCAATTTTTTTACTGTGAGTTTTTGTGTCCTGATTTTTCCCAGCATTTCTGCTTTTCTTAACTTTTTATGGCAATAGCAATAGTTTCTGTCATATAAATATAGCCTATCTATCTGTCTGTCAGAGAGCGAAGCAGTGGCACAGTAGGTAGTGCTGTCGCCTTACAGCAAGAAGGTCGCTTTGTCGCTGGTTCGAACCTTGGCTCAGTTGGCAATTCTGTGAGGAGTTTGCATGTTCTCACTGTGTTTGCGTGGGTTTCCTCCGGGTGCTCCAGTTTCCCCCACAGTCCAAAGACATGCGGCACAGGTGAATTGGGTAGGCTAAATTGTCCATAGTGTATAAGGGCCGGCCGGAATGTTGTTAAAAAAGTCGTTATCATATGGACAAGTCTAAATGAAGGACGTGTTCCAAAGAGCCGACCCCGCAACCATACGGGACTAAGACCAAAGAGGAAGAAGAAAAAAAAAGATCTCTTAAAAGACTTGTTTACAAAGACCTGCTTAAACTGTAGAGAATTATGTAAAGGAATATTAAAACGTTACAAACAAATGATGCATTGTCATATTATATTTTGAAGAAAACTATTACTATCCAGTCACATTTCTATATCGATTAATATGGTGTTTCTGCTGTGGTAAAAAACTTTAAACTATATACATTTAAAAATTGTATTTAGAAAACTAATACAATCTGCTCCGAATAAAAGGAGTTAACCTGAAAGAAAAAAAAGTTTATAATGCAACTGTATGTAGCATATTTAGCTCCTTTCTGATGCAGTACATATTATAATGTAGTCTATTATAATTTAGATCATGAAATCGAAAGCTTGTGGGCTTGTAGTAAACTAGAATCATTTGCGCCAATGTGCTTAAATTGCTAGAAACTGCATGAAACTTCCCAGCACTGAAAAGTGCTAATCATCATCGCACAATCTGGTTTGTTTAGGAAAAGTAAATTGAATGACTCAGCGATTGGTTACACATTCTAACTCTCTGCTGAAAGTTCGAGGCAGCACACCCAGGTTTACCCCTGATTGATTTAGCTGGGCGTTCGTTTGGAAAACCGCATCTACCCTAAACACACACACCGCATCTGGAAACTCTTCAAGACTTTGTGAGGGTTTAGCGTGAGAGAATGAGGGCCAGACTTTCCTCATGTTGGATAATGAACATTGACAGACTTGGTGAACTCCTTTACTGTGATGGCAAAGGTACAAGAGAGGAAATGTGTTGCTATATTTTACAAGAAATTGCTATCTTAGATGAAGTCATCTTCTCGCATACTGATTTTCGAATTCTATGTATTCGGACATACTACTCGGCTCGCATACTGATTTTGGCGTACTATATATTATGGAAGTATGCGGTTTCGGACGCAGCCATTATCTCCCGGTAATCGCCCAGTCCTTAAATACGTTGCGCACCCTTCTTACCCCTCCCCACCACATCCCTCCTCGCTATTCAGATATGTCACTAGCACCTTGCCAAACACCACCAAACCACCACCCCCCGACAGCTAAGCGGGACTCAAAATAAACCCTGAAACTCTGACCAATGTGAAGAGAGTTTACTCACACGTGTCTTGTTTTAGCTCTTTTGGTCCGTTTAGAAACTTTGCCATGTGATCGCGAACCGCACCAAGAGCAAAGAGCAACTATGTAACAATTTTAATCCCTGTTTCTACTTTATATGCTTGTATATTTGGAATTGATGAATCAGCTACTAATTTGACCAGTGCTTTTAAGGATTTCAAAGTAACTTGAAAGTAAATAGTAATAGGATGACTGTTTACATGCTGTAATTAGTAATGTAATCAGATTACAATGTTCAAGTAGTAATTTTTAATCTATTTCTTTTTTTGAGTAATTTATCCAACACTGAACACAATAAGTAAATTGTATCAGATGATTAGTTTAAAGGAAAGTGCATAGTAGTTAAGGCCACTAATCAATGTTTACAAGTCCAATTTATTTTAAAAATCAACACTGCAGCATTCCAAGAGTTGTTCATTTTAAATTCACCCAAGTTCAATATACTTAACATGTACTATATTTTCTATTGAAGGAATACCACCAGAAATACCACCAGTACATGCAAGTAGTGATGCAAGGATTATAGATTTTGGTTGCACGATTATAGTCTGAGGAGTGAGGACTAATCACAAGTTTTACAGTTATCACGATTATTATGGATTCATTAATTTCAAAACACTACTAGTTTAGAGTAATCACATGAAAACTCTTTATATTTTAAAGTGTGATTGAATGCTGCTCAATAACCAATTAATACAGCACAAAATAATAGTAAAAACAAACAATAGTGCATTTCTCTTTGGACTTAAAAATAAGTGAAAAAAAGGTTTTTGGCATGTAAACAAAAGTAATAATTTTACACTGAAAAATAAACAACTGAACAAACAAATCATAATTAATTAAAAATATAAATAAATTTAAATAAATTAAATCTATTGAGTGGTCGTGAGCTCGCGGCGTTCTTTTAGCTAGGTGCGTCTGGAAAGATTGCGCAAGCCCCCACTGGAAAGTTGCACGCGTAAAAGATGCAATATGTGAACGGCCCTTAGTTACAAGCCTAAGCGATAGTCAGGGCCAGACGGAATCTGCGGACGTTGTTTGCTATTTCTGCTGAGAATTTTGGTAAAAATCTGTGGATTTCTGCGGAATTATTTTGGGAGTATCCAGCGGAGTATCATAACTAAAACCTTAATGTATTAAATAAAAAGTTATTAATTACTGAATAAAAACTGAATAAATTCAAATTTACACATTAACTCAAGTAAATAAACAGAATTACAATGGGCTAAAAATCTGCGGAATTCTGCGGAAAATTTGCAGAAAATCAGCGGAATTCTGCGCGCGCAGATTCCGTGTGGGCCTAGCGATAGTTAATCTAGTGTGCATTGGTATTCGCCTCAATGTGCAAGCTGGGAATTTTTAACTAACACACAGTGGGCATAACTTTAGGTTGCAGCATTTTTTACTTATTTTATTTTTTTTACGAATAATTAACGCCTTTACGATTATTTAACCGTGACAAATCGCGTTTAATAGTGAAATCGGTTAATCGTTGCATCCCTAACCACAAGTACCCTTGAAATCAAATTAACAATTCCTTTTTTTTTTTTGGTGGGGGTGGAGGGGACAATTCCATTATTTATTTTTCATAATTAATCTGCGCAAATCATTGACAATTTTCTCTTCAAGTCTCTGTTTTCCCACTCCTGAATATTGTTTCTTTTTTTAAGGAGCCCCTTACTATGAATGGAATGTCAAACAAGTGAAAACTAATACTGGAGGGTATATCTCTAGCTCTCCCCAGAGAATCATTCTGCCATGTTCAAAGTGAATTTGAATTCCTTTGGCGTCAGATAAAACAGACTCCCGATTTTCATTTGCAACGTGCTGGTAGGAACTTGTGTTGGCGGCTTGTTTGCAGTGGAGCCTTTTGTCATGTTGCTTGTTGGATATAAAAAAATTATAAATGACAAAAATTGCCTGCTGAATTTGTTTTATTTCTACCACAAAAATTATTTATCCCAAACGCTTAGCGATTGGAGTATCCCCACACCCACTGCTTTAATTATCAACATTATTACTATTATTATTATATTTTGATACGATTTGTTGACTTTTGACTTATGTACCCACTTCAAATACCACATATATACATATCAAATACTACGCTTATATATATATATATATATATATATATATATATATATATATATATATATATATATATATATATATATATATATATATATAT